CCGGGGGGGGGGGGCTGCCAGCATTCCTCCTTTGGGTCTTTGGAAGCAAACCCTGTCTCTGTCCACTGTTGATCTGTCTTCAAAGCCCCCACTCTGAAAAGATGTGGAGAGCGACCTGGCTTTTGATTTCGAATCTGTATTCAACGCGCCGTAGAGAAATGTACTCTTTGCACTCCTAAGCCAGCTGTGTTTCGAGGAGGGATTTGTAAGAGGGAAGGTTTTTCGCTCCGTCTTGAGCGTTTGGAGAACGCGGGAGCCAGCCACGGCTGACCCCGGCTGACCTCAAGGCCACCTTTGCTCCAGAGGTCTCTGCACGGGAGCGCAGGTGAGGGTCAGATGGTCAGCATTCCCTAGTCTGTTGAATCAGAGCCCGTTTTCTCCTTTCCAGCACACTGTAAAGCTATGCTGGTTAGTTTGCACTGTCATGGTGGCCAAGTCCCACAATTCACATTGAGACTTTGGGTTTAGCAGTGTGCAGAGCCACAGGCCGCTCTGGGATGCCCCTGGGCAAAGTTGCCTTTGCAAACACAGCCGAGCTTCAATGGCGCCATGTATGTAGAAAGCACACTCGTGCACACACACACACACACACACACACACACCCCTCTCGCTGCTTAAGGTCCTCTTCATCAGATGACAGAGAGGAACCTGGCAAATGCAGAAGACCCAAGAGCATGGCCAGAGATGCCAGCAGAATGCCGTCATTGCTCCGGTCACCTCAGACATCCTGGGGTCACCAGCCTAGCTACCTCCATACCGAACATCCCATACGCAGCCTATCGAATTGTGATGGCTTCCTCTTGTCTTTCTCCGTGGAAGACTCAACTGGGGTTCCACCTCCTTGCTTGCTCGGAGCTGACCCCATGGACCGGTCTTGCCCAGCCTGGAGCCCTGCTGGCAGGGGAAATCTGGGGACTGCAGCCCCAGTTCATCTGGGGGCTGCTGGTTGTGCGTTGGGACTCCTGGCCCATGGCTGCCTGTGCTGTTCCTGCCTGGCCCCCCCCAGCCTCTCAGAAGCATCTTCCAGCACCAGCCCCTTTGCCCCGCCGGTTCCTCTTCCCGGTCATCCAGCTGATCGTTCCCCAAGGCTGGACTGCTTAGGGCCCCCTGAACAACCGGTGCTTGGACAACACCCCTTGAGCCCAACGGGGCAGGCAACTATAGGACCCTGGGAGCCTCCCACTGCTGTGCGGAAACACCCCCACCCCATTTAAGGTGACATCTCATCACCGCTCTCTGAGAAGCGACTCATTTCTCTTCTGGGGGGGGGGAGAAAACAAGCAATAATCACCTGGGGTCTTGCCTCTCCTGGCCTCCAGAGTGCAGAAGGCACAGCGGGATCCACGCGGGGTATCACTGGCCAAGTCCCCACACCCCCTACACTGGAGGAACCATTACACGCTCACACATTTTAGCTACACAGTATAGATCTATACACACACATTGTATATTGAATAACAATAGTGACTGAACATCAGTGTGCTCTCACCGCTGATGGGAGTGTACCTTTAATCTTTGTTTGTTTCTAATTTATATATATTATATATATAATATATGTACACAAATATATATAAAATTATTTTGTTTAAATTTATATGGGTACGTAACTAGAAGAAACAAAGTAATGAAGACAGGAGTCCCTCTGTCTGAATGTTTTTATAGTACAAATACGTTCAACACATTTTGATTCTTTCAGGGTATGATAGCTTCCTTCTGCTCCCCCTCCTCTTTTTTTCTTTTTAGTAAAATGAAATAGTGGGATGAGAAGCGCAAGCTGTGCTACTACCCATAGAATTCGGGATCCCTGCACAAGAATTGTCTGGTGGATCGTGCCCAAAGTGTGACTGATTGTAGTTTTGTTGGGTGTCATGTCCCAGAACCAAAGACAGAACAGATTTGATAGGCAAAACCTCTAGAGCAGTGTTTTTCAACCTTGACAAAATTTTAAATAAGAGGGGTCGATACACCCACGTAGCACC